ATATCAAATGGTGTGTCCTGCAGTCTAAGAAGACAAAAATATACTTCTATAATAATGAAAATATTTAAATATACATATACTGGTCTTTATTGCTTCCTATAGACCCACACCGATAGTTGCCTTAAAAACGAGCCGTATCAGTTTAGAAAATTCATCTGTGAAAAACATGTACAAAATCGATGGTTTCTATTTATTTTTCAACATAGTCCCCTTCGAGGAGTACATGTACAACCTTTGGCCAACGGTATTGCAGCCCACTCCTTTACTGTGGATAATGGAGGGGCGTCATCCCTAAAGTGGAGACCATGTCGGCATGTATCTGTGTTGGGGTCAGTCCTTTCGGTTACAGGTACTTTATGACTGACCTATGATTCGTTCAATGATTGTACTTGTAGTTTGCAAAAGTTTCCTTTTTCAACCCTGGTATAATCTAGATTCTAATCTAAATCATATTATAATACATGTATTTATTTTTGTTTTTCAATTAATTCCAACTTTTACTTCATTAATTCAAATAGCGATAACTGTGTTATTTATTCGGAGTCATTGTTGCCTGGAGGCCATAATATGATACAGAAAGTAACACAATCTAGATATAAATCTAAATGATGCTACAATACCGTTATAATCACTTAATCCAATGATCTAATCCTTTATTGTTGTTATTTCCAGACATCGTGACTTCATCTATTTAGATAACCATGGCGTGTTCCCAAATTTCATAATTTATAAATAAAATTTAAAATAATGGTTCATAAATCAACAAGCTGTTAGAGATATGGAATCAGATAATGCCTTCAAAATGTGTCATTTGTTTCTGGGATTGTATTTAAATACAGGAATATCCATACATTACAGAATGGATGAACGGATCAACACAACACCGACTTCACCATGTTTGACTTACTCTTATGTAGTTCTAACCGGATATCCGTAGATCAAATATACGGACGCGTCCATGGGAGGGTGGGAAAGATTCTCCCGTTCCACATTTTTCTGACAAGTTCGTTTCCGAATAAAAACGTATTTATAAACCAATGGAGATTCCAAAAGAGACCTTTTCTTTCTTATGACGGTTGAAGTAAACAACTTGAGTCGTTCATGGTTCATTACTAATCGATATCGGATTGGATTTTCTAGAATTGCAGATCGATATAGAAACTCGTGAACTTCGTTTCATATCGATTATGGACTGAATCGAATACTGGGTTTAAGAAATTGGTTTATCGGTGACGTCACTAATGATGTGCCACGCGTAAAAAACAAACCGAAATAATGCCATAATTATTTCTACTCGGATCCCCACCGCCGCTTTCCAGCTGGATACGTTCCTCTGGATGTGTACTACCGTATTGGGCTGGTAATGGTTAGAAACAAAACAAGTAAATATAAGTTCTGGGTCGATGAGGTTGTGCGATAGCTCAATGGTGCTCGGATGGGTGCCGTCATGAGTTCCATTCCCGCTTGGTACAAGAAATTTTAGACCCACGGCCCGTGTTTTAAGTGAAGGATTCTATATGGCCCTATCTTACAATAAGGGGTTAAGACGCTGGCTCGCTAGCCTGGAGGTCTAGTGTTCGATCCTTGCATTCGCCAAGAAAGTCCATACAGATTTTCCGGAGTGGTTCCCCCTTACCAGTGATCCAGGACGGAGAACCTGACAGGGACAGCTGTTTAGTCTTTCGGATGGGACGAACAACCGTGGTCCCGTGTACATATTGGCGTGCATGTAAAAGATCCCTTGACAGTTGGAATTCGATATAAAAGTAGATCGTAGTGCCGCTGTCCGGGCAAAAGTTCCCTCATGGCACACTGTATGGGGTATGCCCGTCTTCATTAGCCCAGTTCGGAGCAGAACAGTAGGACGTTAAACCCCATTTCATTTCATTGCACGGAAAAGAACCCTTGGAATGCAATTATTGTCCGTATTAATTAGCCCGCTAGGAGTAGAAAAGTAGGACGTTAAACATAATTTGTATTTCATTCATTCAATTCACAAAATTGTTTGAATAATAAAAAGACTTCGCGTGGTAGCTAGGAGCATAAGACAATATAGCGTTTATGATCTATACATTTCAACGAAACTGATAGGTCACTGTCTGAATATGAATATTATGTATTAAGTCAGTTTTGCGTCTCTCTCTTGATCTTTTAATCAATTTTGAACATAATAAAGTTTGATAGATAACATTAAAATAATTGGATAACTCTATGTACTTGAAATGAAAGGGCAATATTCGCGAACCCAGGAGAAAATGTCCCGCTATAGCATAATGCATTACGTACACCAGTCCTCGTTAGCCTCGGTTGGTGCAGACAGGTAAGGCGTTAAATCATTTTTATTGATTCTACCTATCAAGAATATATTTAAACATGCATTATGCAAGAGCAAAATCTGCTGATTACAAGTCTTTCTTTAGGCCTGAAATGTTATCTAAATTATCAATTAGACATTAATTAACTTATCCAGACCATAATAAACTCTCGATGTCAAAGCTAGCCTTCGATGTTGACTGGATTAGATTCCTAAATGCCGCTAACGGCCATTGATTGAGACTATGCTGTTTATATTAATGATTTTAGTAATGATGACCGAGACTATGCAAAAATTTCACCCGCTTCTTTCTCGGCTCATAGTGGATCAATTTGACTGAACATTTCAGCAAATTACCTTAACACTATCTAGATTTTAACTATTATAGCGAGAACTGCCATCTCTTTTTCTTATCTCCCATAACGTATCTTTAAATAAGTTTTTTTTCTCAGTATTTATTGAATTAACCATATTTTTTTTAATTCCATTCTTCAAATTTGATGTCTGGGTTCCATTGTTCTTGAAATTCACACAGAATCAACTTTTCTTTACCTTTCTATATGAAGTGAATGACAAATATTTGAAAATAAAACTAAAAAAATATCGGCAACGGAATTAATGATCTAGAAATGTATTTTCTGTTTTATTTTATCAAATGAATCACGAATTTATTTATAAAAGAATGGATGAATAAAATATAATATAGGTCTTTAGCGGAATTCATTAGCTCAATCAGATAAGGCGATTGGTCGTGGAGTGTAATGGGTGAAATAGTTCAGTTAATCTAGGTCATATTATTGGTTCCTGGTCCACAGCCAAAAAAATCCATCATAGCATGTCACATTACAAGAAAGCGTGCATTATGCAAGAGATAAATCTGTATATAGCAGGTTTCTTTATGCCTTAAAGAGAGAGAAATGAGGTTTAACGTCCACTCGACATGATGATATTTCTCTTTGTGTGGTTCAATCAGTAGGACGTTGGCTTTCTAACCTTTAGGTCACTTGTTTGATCCCTGTGATGCCCCCCCCCCCCAACACACGTAAACTATCCCTTGGCAGTTCGAATTCGATATACCACATCAGGCTTGTATGGGATTGGGAAGGGAAAGGCTCACCGTAAGTTGAATAGTGACCAAGAAAGACGTCATCTGTGCTGGCGAGAAGACCCATACTTGTTTGTATGGTGGTCGTTCTGATGAGGATTTAGATGTTTTGCGTTACAGACGTTTTTGTGAAAGGGTGTTGCCAAGCAACACAAGCGTGTCCGTGCATATTCCCCCCACCACACACACACACACGCACACCCACACCCGCACACACACAAGCAGCTGCCTGCTATCATAGCGCTCGTGTATATTACCAAGTGGATGGGTAAATTAGATAACTGGGATTCAGAAGAGTGAGGTGGCTTCTAGTAGGGAATCGTCTTGAGCCCCGAACAACTGATTTACCACCAGCATAATAGGATCTCCCGAGAGTCATCAGATATAACTGTAAAGCAGATTGCGATACGCGACGATGCACCCGCAGGAAAAATCGCCTGGACTGTTCGGTTGCATGTGGAGAATGCATGCAGGAGGTGAGCTACACAAACTCATTCTTGCATGGCCTCTAATGACGATACGCACGAGGATCTTGAATATGTAGGCCAGTGATTCTCAACCAGTGTGCCGCGGCACACAACAGTTGTGCCGCGATATCTTCCTATGTGTGCCGCAAAATTTTGAACGGCACACTAACAAAATGTGAAAACCCATGTGATCCCAATTAGGTATTCACTGGTGTCTACTAATAAGTTCATAGCTGTGTTTTAGTATGTCGTCTATGACTTGCCATGTTTTTATTTTGCAAAATTCAAATATTTTTCATATATATTTAGCCAGGTGTGCCGCTATTTTTTCAAGGTGTGCCGTTGGCAAAAAGAGTTGAGTACCACTGATGTAAACTGAGACACCTGCCGACCGCTTTTGAAGCTAAATTTTCATGTCTTAATTATTCACTGCTATTTAACTACTATATAATATTTTCTGTTATTTAAAAGAACTGTAATGTACATGGGGGCAACAATCATGAACGTGTCATACAAATGAACAGTGAGGAATTGTAATGAGTTTAGAAATGGTATCTAACTGTATAATAGGCGGCCATCGTGAAAATGACAGCCATTTGGGATTTTAACTTGGTGAAAATATCTATAAATATTATTAGTGTAAAATTTTCTGAAGGTCTTCATTAATTTGTAGTGCTTAATTTGAGCAATTATGCCCAAGATATAAAGTATACAGAGTAAAACTGACTGCAAATATGACGAAAGGCGGCCATCTTGGATTTATGCCATTTAAAAATTTCCCCTCGCATATATTTATCTACATTTTTAAGATGCTCTCCATGATAGTCTGATGAACTATTTGCAATAAACTGACTGGACTAATAGCACACTGAATGACGTATGTTCATCTTCATTAGCCTAGTCGGAGCAGAACAGTGGGACCCCATTTCATTTCAAGTAGTGAAGGAGGGTGAGTGCAAGACATAGACATAAGCAGTGACAAAGGGGTGGCTGTGATTCGTAGAGCGCGAGATAGAATGGATAGCAGTACTTCTTATGTGGCGCTTGGTCACCGTTACATTAATCGCGTCAATCGACCCATCTATTACACACGGTATAATTATTTCTAAGAGAATACAACTTTTACGTGACTTTATTTTGATTTTAATCGTATAATTACAGTGCATTATATAGTAATTACAAATAATTATTTTTCTAAAATATAGTAACTTTAATCTGAGTTCAAGTGACTCTGTCTTCAACGACAAGCCATAGAAAGCTACGAATATTCGCAAATAAATAATAAGGCGTTCATATTTTGCAGAGTCGTCTATCACAATTCTTTTTTTTTCTTCTCGTATAATTAGTGATTTTGTCAAATTTTTCTCAGTGCTGCAAAAGTTAGATGAACATGTATGGCATACGAGAGTTAGGCTGTCTGTGTAGAATTGGTTTCGATTGAGAACAGACATGAAGATGTTGACTGACATTTCAATTCCACCAATAAGTATACTTCGGGAATTTTGGGTAGTACTTTTTCTGCTTCCATTTAATAAATTTAAAATGTTAATTTAGTCATTGTGTGTGTATGAAAGTTGTAAAAGGGGGTCAGTACCGCATTACAACACAGAATACTAATATGGCAGCCGTTCAGTGCAGAGATCTATTCTCAACTCAGATAGTTCTCTGTGGATACTATTTTGGTCCTGTAATGCAAACCCAAACAATATATAAGTCTAACAAATATCTTTGGAAGGCTAATGGTGCTTAATGCTAGTTCAAGGGAAAAGTTAAAGATCCAGACATCATTACCATTATTTGGTTGTTTTAGAAATACAAGCTGTTCAATTTAATCTTTATAAGTACACGGTACTCATAGGTTCAGTAGCTAGTAAGATTAGTCTGCTGCGTGTTGATTCCTCGCGATGATGCATACTTTATTTTTGACCTCTTCTTTTCCCCCATAATCCTCTGAAACTGTTTGTTGTGATTGTGGTACTGGTTGAAATTGGCAGCGATTATCGCTATAGGCATCGATATGATCAATAGACCACATAAGCTACACACGGTGCCCACAATCTTCCCGGGAGCACTAACAGGATATATATCACCGTATCCCACCGTCGTCATGGTAACAACAGCCCACCATATTGCTTGCGGAATGGACGAAAATGCCGAGTTTTCCAGTTCACAATAATAGGTGGTTGAGCCCAAAATAGTGGATAGGATAAGAAAGGAGATGACCAGCAACACAAGTTCGTCTTTACTCTGTACAATGGCGAGCCACATGACCTTCAACCCTGTGTATTTTTCTTTCAATCGGAAGAAACGGAACAAGCGAAGAATATAACAACATCTTAACCCAAACGAAACGTACGCGATCGTCATCGTCTCTGTGTTACCAGTCAAAAAGTAATACAGTTCTATAGTCACTGCCATCCAGCCCACGCAAACTGTTATGATATCAACGACGTTCAGAAACGACATCACAAATTTCAGAGGTGCGGGACAACAAAACCACCTGAGAGCTATCTCAATCGTGAAAACCATTAAACAAATGACTTCAGTGATCATTAAAGCTGGGTGAAGTTGGGTAGATATGAATTCCCGGACTTTGGGATTCGTCACGTTGAAATCAGTATGGTACTTGTCTGTGTCTTTTGGTAATCTAAAAGATGTAATAGTTTCCAGACAGAATATACCTGCTGATAGAAACACCAATACCAGAAATATCCAATTCCATATCTGAAAATATAAAAAGACATATATATACTCAATCTGAGTACATATTAGCGCGAATTGAACCATGTCAAATGTAAATATCTAAAGATTAATGTAAATGGCGCATCATTACTTTAAGTACAAACTTTATTGACAACGAGAAAGCACTAAATAAGCTCTGATCAATCTTTAGATATATTAAATCCCACAGGGTTCTGTAACGACTGATTGCACAATGAAATGTAAATATTGCTTCCACAATGCGTAAATATGAAATGAAATGAAATGAAATGAGACCTAACGTCTTACTTTTGTCCACAGACTGGATTAATTATTTAGTACGAAAATAAAGTGTGTGCAACTCCACATGCTACTTATAATTGTCTACATCAAGCTTGTGCATGACAAGGATTAGGGTCGCCTGTCTAACCTCGTGGGTTTTCCCTGTGTCCCCCGGTTTCCTCTCGATGATCAAGATTCCTACGCGCAAGCTAATAATTTAAATACAATTGTGCTAGTTCGTGTTGAGTGGATGTTAATCCCAGTTTCTTTCTCTTACAATTTAACAAACGGGATTGAAGATACGTGTCAACAATTTGTAATATACAGGTTCAAAACGCAGTAAAAATAACATTAAGCTATGACTAAGTATAATGTCTAAAGTCTGTTACGTCCATGTCCGCAAGCGAGATTATCAAATAACTGGTCTGATTCCAATTTCTAACTCAGGGGCAAATAAATCGTCTTAAACCGATTCTTTTTCAGTAGATATAATAATACCAAGGTGGGTTTAAATAATTGGGAACAAAGTTCACTACTCTAGATTCCGTTAACCAGTGGCAATACTCACTAAATTTCGAAAGGTAGACAATTGAGTCTACGATGACTATTTAAAAAATATCCACGTGACCCTCTTAAAGTCATAATTTAGTTTATTGCAGTCTGGTTGGGTAAATGCTTTCGAATTTATAAATGAACAGCGCGGTTCTATTGATAACACAACAGACCCATCCTACCTACAGACGTGTAGCTACTATTTAGTTTTCGAACGGTAGTTACGTATGTTCACACAACAATATTTAACTGATCGTTATCAATCATACCAACGTCGTGTGTATTATGGTGGCTGTTGTGTTATATTATGTTCAATCGCTAAATGCCATTCAACGATTAACATTATTGCTTTCACTGTGGAAGAGCTAATTGCAAAATTCTGTCCTAATGCCCCCAAAATTACAACTTAAGTTTACTTTTTAAGACATCTAGATAAAAGATATAATTGGCACAACATTGTTCGGGTAATTGTCGTTTTTCTTATAATAATGTAAACCAAAGTGCACGTAGCCTATTATGTGAATCCAAAGTATTAAATAGGGCAATATCAGAATCCCAAGGCTGCCGATAATATGCAAACATTATAAACGCAAGGTAATGTGTATATAATAGATATAATGGCATTATAAAATTGAATGGTGTTCCTGTTATTTTTTATAAGGAATTCAATAACATAATGGGGTTCCCGTTCTCTTTAATAAGGAATTCAATAACATAGTGGTGTTCCTGATCTCTTTAATAAGGAATTCAATAACATAGTGGTGTTCATTGTTCTCTTGAAATTCAAATGAAATCGATGTTCCATATAGAGAATACTGTGTTGAACAATATTTTCCTTAGATCACGGATATTTAATTTTAGACTTCATCTCATCTATTAATCATAAACTTTGTTGATATTTAGGAAAAAAACGGAACTGCTGTCTTTAATTTCGTATCATGACATTAGATTTTCTTTATGCAGTATGATTTAAGGCGGGTGTACGTTGCGTTCTCAGTTTGGAATTATCACAAAACCTTACTGTTCAAATTTAATGAAAATAAAAAATAGAGTAGTAAAACATCAAAGATGGGCCTTTCATTATTGATAGACACGTGTACATGCAACAGTGAAAGGCTCTTATATAGGGTTAGCGTTTGAAAAAAAGTGATTTTAGCTATTTTTCTGTGTAAGTTGATTTTCAAAGCTAATTTTACAAGAAACCGACAAAGATATGGCTTTTAATAATGTTTGTTCAAACAATACCCATTGATACATTTCACATGTGATAAGTAACAACTTCTAACATAGTGTATTCTACAGTGTATCAAAATTTTAATTTCGTTTGCACAATATCAATTTTTGGCACTTAGGCACTCCATACACAGTTGACGGTACTTGTTCTGTAAAATGTGATGATAAATTCTTAATCTATATAACATTCTCTTACAAACCCCACAATTTCAAGAATTTAAACTGACTAGAAGGAATAAAATCAAATCACAAAAATCGAGTTATATAAGAGTAGTTTCAAAACTTACGAAAGGGTACCCCGATTCAAATGGTCACATTCCAGTCAATATTATAGCGAGAGAGAGAGAGAGAGAGAGAGAGAGAGAAATGGGGTTTAACGTCCACTCGACACAAACTAGGTCATTTCGGGACTAACATATGGTTTAATTTTATTTCACTAATTCGCTTGCGCATAGGGGTCTTTAGCAGTGGGAGGAAACCGGAGGACCCGGAGAAAACCCACGAGGTTGGACCGGCGACCCCACTCCTTGTCACGTACAACCGAGGATTCGAAACCACGCCAGTCGACTCAATGACAGACTTTATGATACAGCGCGCGCACGCTAACCATTCAGCCATCCAACCCCCCAATATTATAGCCTGAGTCATATAACTTTGCAGTTTTTCATAAGACTGTATTACATATAATTTTTTCAAAATTTTCTGAGGGGTAACTTTTCAACTTTCTGAGAATTTGGTCCACTTGACATGGGATGACCCAGTTGGAATAAGAGTGGGTCGTAGTATCGCAGTCCTGGTAAAATATCCCCATAGCTCACTATATGGCGTATACCCGTGTTATTTACATCAGACGGTGTAGAATCTCTCTCTCTCTCTCTCTCTCTCTCCAAATTTTGTTTATTTATAGAGTCGTGGTAACGCCTGTCCTGGCGATCGGTCACCTCCTAATTGAAAAATGGTCGACAGACTGGATCAAGACTATATATTATATCATAATATTATGGGCCTTTAAAATTGAAATGTGCAGTCTTTCGGTTAAATGAACATTACTTATGTTCAATTACCAAAAGGCGTTTTCTTGTGATCAGAAATAAATATTTATACAATTTCTGGAATTAATATTAATTAATTTATCTTTCGCAATCTTCGACCTTCAAAACTCGATATAATTAATTAGCTTTCATTTTGTCAATTATATACCAGAATAAACTTTTAATTCAAATAAACTTCCCGACATTATGTCGATCGTCTGGCTTGCTATTATTAGGAAGAAATGTTATATTCGCTATTACAGTAGAGAGAGAGAGAGAGAGAGAGAGAGAAAATTGGGTTTAACGTCCACTCGACACAAACTAGGTCATTTCGGGACTAACATATGGTTTAATTTTATTTCAATAATTCGCTTGCGCGTAGGGGTCTTTAGCAGTGGGAGGAAACCGGAGGACCCGGAGAAAACCCACGAGGTTGGACATGCGACCCTACTCCTTGTCACGTACAACCGGGGATTCGAAACCACGCCAGTTGACTCAATGAAAGGCCATATGATACAGCGCGCACGCGCTAACCATTCGGTCATCCCCCCTCCCCCCCCCCCCCTATTACAGTAATTTTTTGAGCCATGATGATACGGTATTTAAGGCGCTGACTCACTTACCAGGTTCCAGGATTTTATCAGCGTGGTGTATAGTATAGTCTCGTGTATACGTCACAGTGTACGTAAAAGAACCCTTTGATAAAGAGTAGGTGGCAACGCCATTGTCCAGGCAAAATCATATTCCTGAAGCAATGGCCCGAGAAATCCCTCTCTAGCCATTGCTATACCCAGACGGTAATCTTGGATTTTTGACGAATTATGTCTATTTTTATCGTCCAATCAAGTCTCTCCTGGGTATTGCAGTAGAAACTGGATTCAGCTGCCACCCTCAAGGAAAGTTTCATGGCTGGCCGTTTAACGGAGGTGACAACTTTAAACAATCTCAGAGGTTGTTTATCAAGTAAAATTTTACGGTTGGGTGCATCGTGAGCCAACATAGATATTCGCATCGGTAAATTTGGACGTCGCTGAAACTATCCGTATTTCTACCCAGTTTGTTGAAACACAATACATAACACTGTTTAATAGTCCTCTTTGATCTGGGCGCATTCCCAAAACTTCGGACAGTTGATTAAATGTATTAAAAGATGATGAAGGTATTGTTCGTATGCTGTGTGGTCCCCTTTCTTCGATTCTACACCAAAAAGCTGTGTCCATTTATTGATGGGACTTTTTTTAAAATCCGATTGAATCCCAGCCGGGAGATTGTCTGGCGTTGGTATTTTGTTTGTGTTTTCGTAATTAAATGTTAATAATCAATCTGAGTACATATTAGCGCGAATTGAACCATGTCAAATGTAAATATCTAAAGATTAATGTAAATGGCGCATCATTACTTTAAGTACAAACTTTATTGACAACGAGAAAGCACTAAATAAGCTCTGATCAATCTTTAGATATATTAAATCCCACAGGGACCTGTAACGACTGATTGCACAATGAAATGTAAATATTGCTTCCACAATGCGTAAATATGAAATGAAATGAAATGAGACCTAACGTCTTACTTTTGTCCACAGACTGGATTAATTATTTAGTACGAAAATAAAGTGTGTGCAACTCCACATGCTACTTATAATTGTCTACATCAAGCTTGTGCATGACAAGGATTAGGGTCGCCTGTCTAACCTCGTGGGTTTTCCCTGTGTCCCCCGGTTTCCTCTCGATGATCAAGATTCCTACGCGCAAGCTAATAATTTAAATACAATTGTGCTAGTTCGTGTTGAGTGGATGTTAATCCCAGTTTCTTTCTCTTACAATTTAACAAACGGGATTGAAGATACGTGTCAACAATTTGTAATATACAGGTTCAAAACGCAGTAAAAATAACATTAAGCTATGACTAAGTATAATGTCTAAAGTC